GGAGTTCTTTAAATTCCTCCTGTCCGGAATACTGAAGATGTATTTAATTCTTGGTGTTGAGATGTAAACATTTGTTTATAATTTCTAAAAATATTGACTTTGTTTAGCCGTGATCGTTGAGTTTCTATACGCCAAAATTCTTGAGGTGTGGGTGTTGTGGTATTCTGGGTGTGGGAATATAAACTTTAAAAAAAAAACGATAAAAAGTTGTTTTTCCGTTTAGATTGATAAATTCCTATCGTTTGTTTGTATTTGCGCCATAGACTTTTTAATTGGCTCTTCTGTTTGCTGTGTATGGGGTTACTTGATTTGTTATTGAATTAAATTCTTTTTTTTTTACTTATTTCATTTTGTCTGCAAATAATTTTAAACGACTTTAGAAAATACTCGTCATTTTGTAGGTATCACTGTATAAACTTTTTATATCTAGCCTGCTTAGGATGTTAAGTATTTTTTAAAAGTTGTGCTCATTAAGTGATGTGTTATACCTCGTGTTTCTTTAAATTGGAATCATGCTTTTGCGTTATTACAATATTGGCATTATGTTTAGTCATTACAATATTGGCATCACGATTTAGTCATTACAATATTGGCATCTTGATTTAGTCATTACAATATTGGAATCATGATTTAGTCATTACAAAATTGGCATCACGATATAGTCGTTATTATAGTATTGTCATCAAATTGTCAGATGTGTATATTTTTCAACTTTTATAAGTCTTGATATACACTCTCCTTGGCACTTAATTGATCTGGATCTAGAATTCAAATTCAAACGAGTTGATAGGTATCTGACTCACGTTAGGGAAACAAAGTGCGACTGGACATAGTGTTGACCACACTATTCTCCTGTATCTGAGGTCATTGCGACAGATGAACTCTACGTTATCTGCTATATGTGTCTTGGGCACGAATAGGAAAAGGTGATGGTAATTCAAAGGATACATAAGTTTACCTTTCTCTGCAGAGCGTCTCCGTCACACACTTTACCGTCTTACATACTTTATAACGAATTTAATGCCCAGCACATGTCCTGCACTATCGAATTCTAAATTACAGCGACAAACAACCCTCCCCTCCCAATGACCTACCCCCGACCCGCACCCTTCCTTGTATATTTACACAAACAATGCGCCAGTCTTTAAAGATCTATTTATAGCACCTCACGTATCCCAATTTAGACAGGGCAGGTAACGTAACCCTACCAGCCCGTGATTATGTTCCCTAATGGTGTTCTCTGGGGTCCGGATTTAAACTCCAACCACAGGCTGGCGTCTGCCGCTCTTTTTACAATGTGGGCACATTGTGTGCACCTGGTGACCTCTTGGTTGTTAAGCACTGGTCACTTTTTTACAATGTGGGCACATTGTGTGCACCTAATGACCTTACGGTTGTTTAGCACTGGTCACTTTATGACGTGAGCACATTGTGTGCACCTGGTGACCTCTTGGTTGTTAAGCACTGGTCACTTTTTTACAATGTGGGCACATTGTGTGCACCTAATGACCTTACGGTTGTTTAGCACTGGTCACTTTATGACGTGAGCACATTGTGTGCACCTGGTGACCTCTTGGTTGTTAAGCACTGGTCACTTTTTTACAATGTGGGCACATTGTGTGCACCTAATGACCTTACGGTTGTTTAGCACTGGTCACTTTATGACGTGAGCACATTGTGTGCACCTGGTGACCTCTTGGTTGTTAAGCACTGGTCACTTTTTTACAATGTGGGCACATTGTGTGCACCTAATGACCTTACGGTTGTTTAGCACTGGTCACTTTATGACGTGAGCACATTGTGTGCACCTGGTGACCTCTTGGTTGTTAAGCACTGGTCACTTTTTTACAATGTGGGCACATTGTGTGCACCTAATGACATCTTGGTTATTTAGCACTGGTCACTTTATGACAATGTGGGCACATTGTGTGCACCTGATGACCTCTTGTGGTCACTTTTTGACGTGAGCACATTGTATGACCTTACGGTTGTTTAGCACTGGTCACTTTTTGACAACGTGAGCACATTGTATGACCTCTTGGTTGTTTAGCACTGGTCACTTTTTGACGTGAGCACATTGTGTGCACCTGGTGACCTCTTGGTTGTTTAGCACTGGTCACTTTATGACGTGAGCACACTGTGTGCACCTGGTGACCTCTTGGTTGTTTAGCACTGGTCACTTTATGACGTGAGCACATTTTGTGTACCTAATGACCTCTTGGTTGTTTAGCACTGGTCACTTTTTGACGTGAGCACATTGTGTGCACCTAATGACCTCTTGGTTGTTTAGCAGCACTGGTCACTTTATGACGTGAGTACATTGTGTGCACCTAATGACCTCTTGGTTGTTTAGCACTGGTCACTTTATGACGTGAGCACATTGTGTGCACCTAATGACCTCTTGGTTGTTTAGCAGCACTGGTCACTTTATGACGTGAGTACATTGTGTGCACCTAATGACCTCTTGGTTGTTTAGCACTGGTCACTTTATGACGTGAGCACATTGTGTGCACCTAATGACCTCTGGGTTGTTAAGCACTGGTCACTTTATGACGTGAGCACATTGTGTGCACCTAATGACCTCTTGGTTGTTTAGCAGCACTGGTCACTTTATGACGTGAGCACATTGTGTGCACGTGATGACTTCTTGGTTGTTTAGCACTGGTCACTTTATGACGTGAGCACATTGTGTGCACCTAATGACCTCTGGGTTGTTCAGCACTGGTCACTTTATGACGTGAGCACATTGTGTGCACCTAATGACCTCTTGGTTGTTTAGCACTGGTCACTTTATGACGTGAGCACATTGTGTGCACCTAATGACCTCTGGGTTGTTCAGCACTGGTCACTTTATGACGTGAGCACATTGTGTGCACCTAATGACCTCTTGGTTGTTTAGCAGCACTGGTCACTTTATGACGTGAGCACATTGTGTGCACCTAATGACCTCTTGGTTGTTTAGCAGCACTGGTCACTTTATGACGTGAGCACATTGTGTGCACCTAATGACCTCTTGGTTGTTTAGCAGCACTGGTCACTTTATGACGTGAGCACATTGTGTGCACCTAATGACCTCTTGGTTGTTTAGCAGCACTGGTCACTTTATGACGTGAGCACATTGTGTGCACCTAATGACCTCTTGGTTGTTTAGCACTGGTCACTTTATGACGTGAGCACATTGTGTGCACCTAATGACCTCTTGGTTGTTTAGCAGCACTGGTCACTTTATGACGTGAGCACATTGTGTGCACCTAATGACCTCTTGGTTGTTTAGCACTGGTCACTTTATGACGTGAGCACATTGTGTGCACCTAATGACCTCTTGGTTGTTTAGCAGCACTGGTCACTTTATGACGTGAGCACATTGTGTGCACCTAATGACCTCTTGGTTGTTTAGCAGCACTGGTCACTATATGACGTGAGCACATTGTGTGCACCTAATGACCTCTTGGTTGTTTAGCAGCACTGGTCACTTTATGACGTGAGTACATTGTGTGCACCTAATGACCTCTTGGTTGTTTAGCACTGGTCACTTTATGACGTGAGCACATTGTGTGCACCTAATGACCTCTGGGTTGTTTAGCACTGGTCACTTTATGACGTGAGCACATTGTGTGCACCTAATGACCTCTTGGTTGTTTAGCAGCACTGGTCACTTTATGACGTGAGTACATTGTGTGCACCTAATGACCTCTTGGTTGTTTAGCACTGGTCACTTTATGACGTGAGCACATTGTGTGCACCTAATGACCTCTGGGTTGTTTAGCACTGGTCACTTTATGACGTGAGCACATTGTGTGCACCTAATGACCTCTTGGTTGTTTAGCACTGGTCACTTTATGACGTGAGCACATTGTATGACCTTACGGTTGTTTAGCACTGGTCACTTTTTGACAATGTGGGCACATTGTGTGCAACGGATGACCTTACGGTTGTTTAGCACTGGCCACTTTTTGACAATGTGGGCACATTGTGTGCACCTGATGAACTCTTGTGGTCACTTTTTGACAACGTGAGCACATTGTGTGCATCAGTCCTTCTTCCTCCCCTAAAATGTGCTTTTTGGGTTGTGGATAGTGTGAATAGGTCTGTCATCTGGGGGGGGGGGGGGGTGACTTAAATAGGGAGGTGGGGCATCTGGGTGGGGGGGGGGTGGACTCCGGTTTTTCTCTGCCATCTAAATAAGGGCGTCTATTTTTAGAGAGCCCAATAATTGTAACTGGTGAAACAGCTGCAGGGATACAGGGCCTGCCTTTGTTTGGGTTAGGATTATAGGGGAGATGTGTAATGCTGGTGGAGTTAAGTCTGTGGTGGTATGGTACGTGAGGAGGTGGATGATGGTGTGTATGAGGGGTGGGTGTGTATGAGTTGGTGGGTCGAGTGGAGGGGGTGTATGAGGGGTGGGTGGAGGGTGTGTATGAGTTGGTAGGTGGTATGGAGTGGGTGTATGAGGGGTGGCTGGAGTGTAGAGGCTAATATATATGAATTAGGGGCATGTGGTAGAGGGAGTGCGGGATGTATGAGGTTAAAGGGGTTGACATTGGACAAGATGATGCAACATTATAAGGTGTGTATCGTGAATGATGTTGATAGGGGTGGATTTTAAAGAAGGTACATACGTACTTTACGCCAGTAAAGTGTGTATTACGTGGGATCTATATAATCAACAAAGTGAATCTATATTGGAATATCCTCCTTCCATACCTAAAAATAAAATGCCTACTTCGTATCTTTGTAAACATTTTTTTTTAAACAAAAAGAACTTCAAATATGTGGACATGTGATTTTCCATGTTTCACCGAGGTAAAGCAATTTGTTTGCTTAGAAAACGATTATAATTAAATACCCCAGGTACAGGTACACTACTCTTGTTTTTTTTCCTGCATCGTACTTGTTGCTTCCCCTGAATAAAATCCTAGTTGCTTCCCCTGAATAAAATGTGCCTTAGTTCACCCAGTGGCCGAGCCTGAACCGTGTGTTTGATGGCTTGTTTGTTGCAGGTGTGAGGTGTGCAAGATGAACGTGCCTCATCGGGTGCTCACCCCAGACGACAGTCTCAAGTCGATGTCAAGGACGTTGGAGTCTGGGGAGTACAGCAGGGATTACTTAGCCTCGCCGCACGCGTCGTTCTCTGATGTGAGTACATCGGTGTTGTGGTTTTTTTCTTGTGCTTGTTCAACACACACACACACATTCATACACACGCACGCACACACTCAACCTTCACACACACACACACACACCTGCATACACATACATTCATACACACGCACGCATTCACGCATTCACACCTCACACACACACACATGAATGCAAACACATTTATACACATTCAAACACACATACACACCTTCACTCACACACACCTTCATACACACACACCTTCACCCACCATTTTCACACACACACACACATACCCTTAAACACATGCACACACATGTTCACCTACACCTTCATACACACTCACACGCACACAAATCTTCACACACACACCTTCTCACACACACACTTACTCTCACACGAACCTTTACTCACACACCACATACACAAGTCCCTTACTTTCTCAGCTTTACACTCCCACACACCTTCCCAAGTACCCTCACAAAACCACCTCACACTAACCAAACTAGCCTGTCAACCTCCAATAACTGCTGAGTACTCTATGTAAGCACACTTCCCTCATTGTGTGACCCGCTATTCCTTCTTCTACATCTCAATCTATTTTTATCCTCCATGCCCAATCGTATCTGTTTTCTTGTAGGCTACTTATAAAACTAACGTGACATGCTCTATCTATATATATAATTCTCTTCTTGGAGCCGTTAGAAAACAAGCTGCAAGCGCCTCCTTGCAGTCCCCTCTCTTTCTCTCTATCATTATCACTACCACCCCCATCCCACCCCCACATGTTCTGGCGTGAGCTGTGGTCACGCTAAATGTTTACAAAGCTAAATATTTACAAATTGTAGAGCCGTAGAGTCGGGTTTCTATTAGGGGCAGATAATTTAGTTCGATTTTAAACTTACAGGAGGTAACTAAGAAATAACTAAGAGGAGGCTGCTTTCACGGGGGGGGGGGGGGGTGTAGGGTCGGGGTCAGGGGAAAGGGGGGGTAGTGTTTTAAAGCAAATATTTTCAGTGGCAGCATTGGTACTGTCGAATTCACAAATTATGAATTACTGAAAAGTAGAAAATAAAACAACTAAATAGCGGCGTATGATACGCCGCGGGTCGGCTCGTATAATATAAAGTATGAATACACATGCTTTAGAAATATAATTTGTTTCTCTCAGCTAGTATAGGCGTGCAAATACGAGGCTTAATATCTTTATGCCCCGTGTATGTGTGTAGGACTGTACAGTGACACGCACCGACCCCTCCCCCACTCCCCCTCGTCGTTAGATGAACTGTTGACAGTTTGCAACTAATGCGTTTGATAGGATTTCATTTTGTCGGGCGCGGTGTGTAAACTCCAGTGAATGGACTTCGTAGCGTTACCTCCCCTATTTTGGCGCCACTAGAACAAGGGCGATAAATCGGTCAGCTGTTCTTTTACTACGGGGTGCAGATGCACGGGTCGTCTGTTATGCACTGGCTTTGTTCAAGAGGCCCAGGAAATTTTAAAAAGGGAACCCAAGCCCCAGATTGAAATTTTCATTTTTCTTTCTTTTAGCTCCATCAAAGCCTGAATTTTACACATTGGTATGAAGAAATGTGTAAACCTCACCTAATATACTTTTAAAAAAATCTAAACACTGATCGGACAATTGTCACAATTTAATCACTATTTCAACCATTTGTTCTATAGATCTAGTTTTTTCCTGGAATTCCACAGGGATTATTCTCGGTGGACCGGCGGGCCAGTCCACCCGTCCTTTGTTGCAGGTTTTGGGTGGTTAAGAAAATGATTTAAAGTTAATTAATCTAGAATATGTATATTTCCTTCATAACGTACCAAGCGTTGATAGCTTGTCTTGCAGATACAATTTTTAAGAGAGTTATGACTTAAAGATTAAGGCTATGTTTTTGCCATATGAATTAATTTGTTTTATGCGTGGTGCCGTATAATTGAAAAGAAATGCCATTTTACTCACCGTTTTGAATGATAATCGCACTGCATACCCGTCTTCATGGGACTAGACTGCTAACCCGAAAGTCTCGAGCTCGAAAAGTGTGCATTGTGTTAGAAAAAAAAGTTATTTTAAAATTGAACATTAAAAAAATGAAAACCGTTTATCTATACTCAACTTGAGGATTGTGTTAGAAAACAAAAAGTTATGGACTATGGGGGAAAAAAAGTTAAAAATCAGCAAACTTGTATTCACTCTTGCTTGAGTTCTCCCCCCTAAATTGGTCCCTGTTCATCCATCTCACGAGTTATTGTCAGTTCATTTAGCCATTCCCAGACGATGAATGGAAATCACTATTTTACTACCGGACACATCAGCGGGTTGGTGAGAGGGGGGGGGGGGGGGGGGAGTGTGGCACGCGATCATCAAAATCTGGGAATGTCGCCAACATTTCTGAATGCCAAGAGACCAAATTTGAGTTGTACTTTACTTTTTCCTAGGAATAAAAAAAAATCCAATCTTTGTATTTTTATTACTATGTCTAAACTAAACATTAATTCTGCCATCAAAATTTTGAAATACGTTGAACTTTTAAAAAAATAGTATTGAATTTTGATAGGCGCTGCTTTTTTTGGAAAGAAAATGTTTTCGCTTCAAGTGGTTTGTCTAAATATAATTTTTTTTTAAATTTCTGTATGCTAGAATTCATGGCAGAACTTAAACATCTGTAGGACATATTGGGTGTTATTTTTTTACAGTATTGATACCCCTAGCCCTAGCTTAAATTAATTATATCTCTGGTTCTTAAACTACACAAACTCTCGGTCCTAACCTACTGTCTTTTCTGTGACTTTAATACTTACCTACGTCTACCTTTGGCGTTGATACAACACTCTACGTCTATATTGCTATGGTCTTAACCCTAATCCTTAGAGTAGCACAGATTCATAACTTAACAACGATACATGACGGGATAGGGAAGGGGAATCTATAAAAGCTGTATTGTAAGGACTGATATGTCTTATCCGCATTAGATTATTTTTAATTTTTTTTTCTAGTGTGAATGGTATCAGAAGCTGACCTATATCATCATTGAACAAAGCTTCATTATAGGGGGTTGGGGGGGGGGGGGGGTGTCATGGTAATTGAAATTTTAAGTTAATATTGACCTATTACGATTAATTGTTACTTAGGGAGTGTGAAGTAAGTATATTTAATTGTAGTGAGGTAATTATTTTTAGATGTGTGTAATCATGACCTATATTTAAATTTGTGTAACAAAGGCCCTGTATTTATATCTCTCTTATATATATATATATATATATATATATATATATATATGTGACGAGCGAACATTTATCCTGCCGACAACGCCAATTGTAACGAGCCAACAGTTACCATGCTCGCAACGCCACATGTAATGAGACCTAATTGCCTGTAGTGCCACGTGTTAACGAGTTTAACCACTCATTCTAGACAACATTGACCACAGTATAGATACTCAAGATGCAGGTTCGCTATTGATCCTTTATTACATGAATCAAGAAATGCTTCATAATAACACAATAAATCAACAGGAATGCTTCTCAATAATAGTCTGAATCAACTGACCCCTAACAGTCCTTCACTAGGCTTTATATAACTGAATCCACATGTCTATAATCCTCCTTAACACAATACGGCTAACCCGTTCTATAACCGACTTGACATAGTCACACAGACTGACTGATCTAAGCGAGCGATGAAGATGGAAGAGAGCTCGCTGAAACGGGAAGAGAGAGAACGAGTCCTGCCGTGCCCTCCTATTTATGCCTTGTATCCGTACTCGTCTCCGTACTTGTATTCCTCCGTAATCGATACTTGTACTCGATCTCCGACCACCAGTTGCGTAGTTCAAACGTACAGACCGTAAAATAACATCTGCGTCCTATCCATCAAAGCCGACAGGCCGTCTGAATACCGTTTCCCAAAATAGCACGCGCCGGCTTTGAGGTTGTTATCAGCCCGACCCAATAAGCCACCTGTTATCGGTTGCATCAGACCAACACTGTGTCTCGGCTTCTCGTTCGTTATCATTTGTAACTGGTAGTTAGGCCTACCCCAGTTACATCCACCCCTGCTTTTTTTGTGTGTTTTCAACCACAAACAACGCCTGGCAGGTGCACTCCTCCAAAGTCAATCGCACAGTCGTAAAAAAAAAAATCTATTGTTCCACTCACTGTCCACGACGTTCCATTCGTATACGATTGACAGTTCTACCTATTTCACATATCAACTGTGTCTACATCATCTTTCTGAGACACAAAACAGTTCTAGAATTCACATCCACCCTTTCCATTTGGTGCCTTCACCAGTTCACTTCTATAGCTCTTTGAACAGTCTGTTTTCATACCAGCGCGACCATGAAAGAATTGATGGTTGCTGACAAAAAATTTCGTATTCCTTCTGTTCCTTAAACTTCTCCGCGGACCACTTATCTGATGGTCTACTGTCTCTCTGCTTCTGGAGGGACCGGGATCCTCATTGTTGCCGGTATCCTCCCCTTGCGTATCGCTGTTGTTCTGTTGATGGTGATATGGTTCCGGAATGGGTATGTGAATTTCCGTTATAACTTCCGGTTCCCTAATTGTCTTGGGTTTCTCTGTGTGTAACTGCTCTTTTTGCCTATTCCAATATTTCTTTAATTGAGCAATATTCGCCCACCGATCCGGTTTGGCGTGATCGATGGGTCTTATCTTAAAGGGGCCACCTGCTACTTTAGGCATCTCCACGACTTGCCATATCTCCTGTCCCCAGAGATCGTGGATTTTGTTTCTGCCTAACGGGTGGCTACGCAGTAATACCCTGTCATTCAGTTTGAGTGGCGGGTCCTTCGTCTGTATCGGCGGTTCCCTTCGCCGAGATTCATGTTCTAGTCTTTCCTGTACTACCCTGTACATTTCTCTAATTCTTCTCATATGTTCATTCACATATTCCAGTGCGGTGTATGAGCCAGTCATACTCTCCCTTTTTCCTAGGAACAAATCAAGAGGGAGTCGAGCCTCTCGTCCGAACAGCAACATGTATG